TTTTATTCCACGCTTTTGGAGAAGGGGAGTTCATTTGTTGAACGAACCAGTCAGTCAGTTAATGGACATCAGACGTGTACCAGTAGTGTAGTTAAGCTGTAGAATATCATATAATATGATATACATATATATCTTGTATTTTAGATGGCAATGTATGTATGTAGGCTGCACGCGGTTTTTTGTTGGCGTGCGTGCAAAAGAAAAGAATTGTGCAAGCTGCCATAGATCATGGAGAAATTATTTGATCTTGTCCCGATGCTTTACCATTTGGAATTCATGCAAGGATATCCGAGTCGCACTTGGTGAGTTTTTTTGCACATGACCGTGTATCGGGAAAAACAGGGCGGCAATTTTTGGATCACGGTGGCCAGGAAAAATAGGCCCAAAATTAAGTCAGTGCACTGCCATTCTACTGCAGCATCTCGAATTATTGATTCCAGGACGGAACCTTCAGGAATTCAACAACAGTAATGGTGTTGCCATGCAGTGTTGCGTCCATCGCCATATTTGATGCGCTATCAAGTTGCTGAAGTGCATGGGATATGTGGAGCTAGTGCAGCCAATCAGAGCGTGGTAAAAACACTGCACGATCGAGGTGGACGGACATTAGGGATCTGAGACCTGGATACCTCCGGATCCAGGAAGACAAACCTGAAAATGATGGTGTGGCCATGGTGGTGTTCTGAGCGCAAAAAAGTGATGTTTTAAAAAATTATAGACCCCATCTGCGCCGTCCCCGATTTACGCCGCACGGAGGTTGAAAAAAATCTTTGGAACAGGCCAGCTTGCTTTGGCTCTGCTTTAAATTTTAATCTAAACACGTCGTGGTCCCACCTCCAGGCAAGCCATGCACGGGGTTGTCGAACGTCCCGGGAGATTTTCTATCCAAGTTGATAGGCTTAGAAAGTCAAATTGAAATTATCTTGTGCCGACCTCAAAACGCCGCTGATACGACCATAGCTCCAATCTCTTGAGGGACAAAAATCATTGCCGCGATGGGAGATCGCGACGCTGAGAGGCTCCCCAATATTTATCCGGACTTGTGGTGGTTGAAGTCAACGCCGGGGCTGGGAATCTTGATATTTCCCACCAACAAGGTGATTTTGCCGTGCATGCATGGGACAAGAAGGAAATTCAGAGCCGCAGCGGGGGATGATGTGTCATTCGGGGGAATATAATTCAACCATGAACCAATTCAACCAAGGGATCGACACCGCCGAACATCTGGAGCCGAGATTATTCGCCTATGTGCCCTGCCAGTGCACAACCCGTCGATATTTTCTGAGGCCTTTTAAGTCATGGGGTCGGACGCGGGAGTAAGGGAATCTTCAACGGCAGCTGATTCCATTTGCTCAAAACCGCGCATGGGTAATGTAATCTTCATAATACGTGACCATGATAGAAGTTTGACATCGCGTGCATACTATTCGAAGGAAGATTTGGTAACTATAGTCTCTCGAATAAAGTAGCCAATCCTCCTGAATTGGAACAAGAGCTGTGCAACGACAAATGGTACCGCGCGAATCATCTTAATCCAATTCCATCAGTCATGTCAACTGAGATTTTGTGAGTAGTAGCACCTTCGGGCAGCGTGCACCGTGCACCACCGGTGCTTATACCTCTCCTTCCTAACTGCACTTTACACGATACTCCATTACACAGTTCGGCAATATAATGGTTGAACCAGTGCCAAAAGTTCAACATCGAGGGTGAAGTGGAGGTGATGGGAGGGATGGCCGCAGCTTTTTTCAGTCACTCACTGTAAAATGAATAAAAAAAGAAATAAAAATGGTTGGATTTTTCAAATGCACCGGTGGGGAGTCGAACCCCGTCTGTCTGAAATCGACTGGCGCGTTCTCATATTTAACGGCAGCGTGCACCATGCACCACCGTTGTCTATTCCCATCCTTATTGACACTGTTTCATACAGCCCGCAATCACGCAATGGTCAATACCATTACAGTAGTCCATTTCTTAAAGTCGAATCAATATTAATGCCTGTACGACACCTTGTTATAATATCTAGGTCCCCAGGACAGGGCAAAAACGTGCGGAAGACTAGGCTTGAAAACATTTGGAAAAGACTTCTCTGATACAGAATGCACCGGTGGGGAGTCGAACCCCGGTCTGCCTGACATAAGTTATACCGAAGTATTTTATGACAGTGTGCACCATGCACCACCGGTGCTCATTGCCTCCCTTTTTCACCAAGAGTTATACAACTCTAAATCACACTGTGGCCCATCGTACTGCGGCATTGTGTGATTCACACAATGGTCAATACGAATTTACAGTTGGTTCAAATTGGATATCTCACGACATGTTCTCAATAAAATATCTAGGTCTCCGTATCAAACAGAAATGTGCGGAGGAGGTGAAAATAGCTAGAAAAAATACAGTGCCCCCAAATCCATGCAACCAGTGGGGAATCGACCCCAGGTCGCCTTGATCCATTGACGCACATCGCAATTATTGGGCGGCGTGCACCATGCACCAAAGGTTCTTATTTACTTTTTAAAAAACTTTTATTTGTGCCGCTGTAACTCATTTATCATTACGAAGCCACCAAATGGATCGGCGGTGGCGCTGTCCAGAAAATGCCGCGGGATATTGAAACGGGCGTCAAACCAAACCCGAAGCATGATTTTAATAGGCGCTGGAAGTGGAAGTTGGATACCAGCGGCAGAAGATATGATGGGCTCACAAGATCGGGGGGTGGTCCAATATTTTAGGGGAGATTCTGCATGTCGGGTGATTGTTGAACAGTGCATCTAGTGGCAACATTTTTTTCCACTGAACTTCTCCTGAATTTGGCATGAAGCGCACCAATATTTTATTGCATGGATTTAATTTGATCTTTCCCGCCGGCCCTCAGGGACCGCAACTTGAATTCGCTGACAGCGTTTACAATTGATGGGCCCTACAGATCACCTGCATCGGACCTACACTGCGAGTCCTTGCTTACAGACCCAAAGCTTGTCTTCATTCACGGCTCAAAATGTTATCCGTCACTACTACTCTAGGACTGGGCTCTGCTGCTGTTCTCACATTCATCCTGATCATAGTAGCCAGGTCTTTCCTTCTGTCAAGTGGCCCCTCTGCAACTGCTGGTGTGGAAACCGAGACAAAAGAACCACAGCGAAACCTGCGGCCTCACTTTTGCGAGGTTCTCAGCGAGGTCCAGGCTAACAGCAACACGACATGGAAAACAGTGATGGTATGTATGATTTTCTCTCGACTAATTTGCAACTGACCTGTGCTTGAGCCTTTCTCGGCGACGCTATTAACGACACTGCTCAAGGATGAGCGACAACAGTTCGCCCAAGGTTCTCCGCACAGTACATGCATGGAGGATGATTTAGACGGAACCGCATATATTCAACTTGGGATCACCATTGCCATGCCTGTATCCCAGAACTCGAATGGTGGAGGGTATTTGATCGGAGTGCATAAGGCTGTAGTGAAGGAGTGCTCAGAAGTGTTACAGCCATGAAATTGTAGAGGTCTATAAATGTGAGCTGTAAATCACTACCGTTATATTCCAGTCCAATTGATATTTGACATTTCAAAATCTTCAAACAATCCTGATTATTGTATGTTTCTATTTGTGCACAGTACGAGGACACGACTGGTTTACCTGACTCATGATGTTTGATGCATTACTGGGGAACGGAGCCGGACCCGGGAAATATTGAATGGTTCATGGGCTAGCAACTCTGTGAGCCTGCGTGTGAGGATGTCTCCAGCCAAAGGGATATGTCCAAGGTTCCAATTTATGCTTGAGGCACAAAGGGAGATGAGATTCCAGATAGGATGATATGAATGGGAAGTGTACACAGAACACACTGCAGGCAAGGTACAATGTATTCAGTGATTCTGTGAGAGAGATATGAGGATTTTATACAAAATAGACTCTCCATTAAGTGGAGGATACTGTGGTGATTTTGTAGTGAATTTATTAAAAATATCAGCACAATACATTCACAATAGAAGCACTGCTTCTATTTTGATGTTATTGTAAATATATTGTAAAAATTGATTTTATTGTAAACTTATTATGCTAACATCAAACTAGAAGCATTGCTGCTATTGTGAATGTATTGTGCTGATATTTTGAATAAATTCACTACAAAATCATTGCAGTATTCTCCACTTAATAGAGAGTCAATTTTGTATAAAATATTCATATCTCTCCCACAGAATTACTGAATACATTGTACCTTGCCCGCAGTGACATCACAAACAGGAGGGAATGTATATCCCAAAGTTAAAATGCAAAAGGAAACGGGAAACGGGAAACGGGAAAGGAGAAATAGAAACCGATTCATCTCTCTGCCTGAACAAGACACTGAGACTCTTCATCTCTTTAATGTGCCTCCTTCAGCTCCCCAACAGGTTCCTTCAAATCTGCGCGTTGCTAGAATTGCCTTTTGTAGTCCTCCAAAAGGCTGGGTCCATATCAGCAAGCTTCCTGTCAATTTGAGCAACCTCTTTGGCCTACGAAGCCCTCCAAAACAAAGGCTCTGCTACCACAGTTCGACTAACTTCAGAAATTCTATAATATCGAAATTCTATAATATCTTAGTACTTCCCAATAATCTGTTGATACAATATCTAGGTCCCCGGGGCAAGACAAAAATATGCTGCAACGTATGAAAAAAAGGAAGGATTCTGGACGGAGCAATCCCATGCACCGGCGGGGAATCAAACCCGTGTTTTGGCTGAACTATATATGGAGTCCTTGATTGAAGAGTAGCATGCACCGTGTGCCATCATGGCCAGTGCTTATTCCCATCCTTCTTCGCCTATATTTACTCCAAGCAAGCGAGTGTTACGACTGAAAAGATATTTTTCACGGACTTACGCAATGGCTAACCATCCTCTGAACACTGATCTAATCATTCAGGTACCCACTAAAATAATGCCAATAATGCGTTGTTAATCTACTGATAGTGTCAATGCCATAATTGAAAAAGAAATTGGAAAGAATTATGGTTGAACACACCGGTGGGGAATCGAACCCCCCCTTCCCCCGATTTAAACAATTCATCCAGCGGACATATTAAGAGGCCGTGCACCATGCACCACCGGTGCTTATATCAATCCTTCCTGACCCTCATTTATACAACTCCAAATCATACTGTTTTGCATGATGGGCAAATTACACTCAGGTCGAAGCGCTACACATGCAGTACATACCCAATTTTTAAACATCAACATCAATAATACCTCTGGGAGACTTTGCTTCATTTTGATATTCCGGTAATACAAGTGTACCGAGAAATACGACACTCCGAATCTGCAGGATTACCGCAGGAGGTGTGTCGATGAAAACAGTTAGAAGAAAAAAATGTGGCACACCCACCCCATGTGCCGGCGAGGATTTGAACCCCGCTCTTCCCTGATTTAGACGACAAAGAATCAAAGACCCTACGTAACGGGGACGTGCACCTTGCACCACCGGTGCTTATTCCCATCCTTCTTCACTAAGATTTATACAGCTCTAAATCATGCTGTGTGATTCACACGATGGCTCATGCCAGGCCCATACCGTTTACGGTCGGCCAATTCCTTTAAGATGAATCCCTCCCACACATGTCCCCAAATAAATTTGTCGATATAATATCTAAGCCTCTGTAGTAAACGAAAATGTGATGAGGAGGCAAATGAGAGAGAAAAAAGCACTGCTCTACACCGAACGCACCGGTGCGGAATCGAACCCCGATCTACTTGACATCCCCTGCGCATTCAAATTTTAGGGCAGCGTGCACCATGCACTACCGGTGCTTATTCCCTCCTTCTTCACCTTGATATACACCGCCCTCAATTGCACAGGTGGCCAATCTGATGGGTTAACAAAATACTTTGGCTTGAAGAAAAAAAGCTCTGGCAGTGCCCAAGCTCAACATTGCCATCAAGGATAATTATTTTCTGGCACCCTTTTGACATACCATCTACGAGCTGATCTGTGCCTACCACCAGCATGCAACGACAACTTTTTGGGAGATATGAATAATGTGGGGGGGAAAAATTGCTCCGCTGCCACACTGAAAGCACCGGCGGGGAATCAAACACTATATCGCCTTGATTGCCATGACACACATTGTATTTAATGGCATCGTGCACCACGCACCGCCGGTTCCCATTCCCCCTCAGCTTTACCCTGGCCTGAGTTGCATAGGCAAATATTCAATACCATCAGATTCCTCAGGCTAACAGAGCAAATGCGTGATGGGATTGGAGAGGATTCAACCACACCAGGCGGCTGCATTCCCATTTGTGTCCAACGGATTCCTATCGCCGAAGAGAAGTGCAAACCGAAAGAAGGCGGATCATAGGTAATTGCGTGTCTATGGGCTCCATGCGAGATCGATTCTGACCGTTTGCCAGGACTACTGTTTTATTTCTTTCAGCTGAAATTTATAATTTGAAGTACAAATTCATTCATTGAGAAATTGTTACTTAAATTCAAAGAATCAGACCTCCTGAAGTTGTAACTTAATCTAGTGGATTCAGCTTCAATTTCAGACATCCTGAAAAAAATTATTTAAGGTACATTTTAGGGTGTACTTAATGTTGTTTCTGAAATTACAAAATTTGGTTACATTTACAGGGCTCCTGAAATGTTGCATTTGGTGGTGTGCATCCTTCTTCGTTTCCCTCTTACACAACACACCACACTCCCTGCCTCACAACCGATCACACTACATAATACCTAATTCCCCGTGCGTTTCTTGCCCCTGCTTGCTCACCCACGTGTCTCACATATTGCTGCTGCATATACATATTTGCATCTTGTACTTCTTGTAACTGTTTGCCCTGCTGTATACTCTTGTCTCGGCCATATTGTAGTGTACATTATTTTCTTCCCACACTTACTTACTTCGTTATCATTTTGCTTGCCATTATTTTATGCTAGTTAAATAATTCTTAATTACAGACAGCTCTCGGTCGAATTTGGAATTTGAGGCGCGTTACCGGCAATTTCCGTGATGCGCCAGATGATGCGCTTGTGCTAAGAGCCGTCATTGGACACCATGCAGAAATATTGACACGACACTTATGTCCGTAATCACACCATTATAGATGCTCAAACACGACGACAAGAAGCTTATTAATCATTGAATTGACCGAACGGCATGAATATTACATTGCCCGTTACATGCCAGATTCACACCCAGATGGTCACATTTCTCGCTTCGCCGCTTAAGATATGACCGTCTAAGACGGTATGTGGCATTCCAGAGCCGATCCAGGAAGATACGTGGATTTACAAGGACAATCAATATGTACTATTCCCGAGGTTGAGAAAAAAAGAGGACCCGTGCAATATCTACAGCTCTACTATCCTGAACATCCCGAGAGAAGTTAGAGGGATTGATGATATATATGTAGAGTAACTCAGACATACGTGAGCAATTTCAATCCGAATGTGGATCCGTTAATGGGAATTTTTGAACTTCAAGAGTTCAGCACGCCTCTGAGACAGGGAAAATTTGTGTTATACAGAGGGACACATGGTATTGGAAGTGCGACTTACTTCCTGTTGCAAAAAATTGAGAAGGCTGTTTTCAGCACAGAGGAGAGCACAGAGCAACTTACTTCCTGTTGCGCGAGCGTGAAAAAGTGTTGTCAGCAGTGCGCACACAGTGGAGAATGCAGGGCGACTTACGAGCTGTTGCGCGAGCGTGAAAATTGTGTCTTTAGCACGGTGCACGCAGCAGAGAATGCAGGGCGACTTACGAGCTGTTGCGCGAGCGTGAAAAATGTGTTGTTAGCATGGCGCACGCAGCGAAGAATGCAGGGCGACTTACCCCCTGTTGGGCGAGTGTGAAAAACGCGTCGTGAGCAGTGCGCGCAGGGTGGAGAACGCAGGACAACTTACCCGCTGTTGGGCGAGGGTGAAAACGTCGTGAGCGGTGCACGGAGGGTGGAGAACACAGGGCAACTTACCCGCTGTTGCATGAGTGTGAAAAATGTGTTGTCAGCGGCACGCGCATGGTGGAGAACACAGGGCGACTTACCCGCTGTTGCGCGAGCGTGAGAAACCCGTCGTCAGCTGCGCATACGGAGTGGAAAACGCAGGACGACTTACATCCTGTTGCAGGAGCGTGAAAAACGCGTCGTCAGCAGCGCGTGCGAGTGGAAAACACAGGGGGCGACTTACAGCCTGTTGCGTGAGCGTGAAAAACGCGTCGTCAGCAGCGCGTGCGAAGGAGAAAACATAGACTTACCCACTATTGCACGAGCGTGAAAACACGTCATCAGCAGCGTGCACGGGGTGGAAAACACAGGGGGCGACTTACAGTCTGTTGCGCGAGCGTGAAAAACGCGTCGTCAACGGTGCGCAAAGAGTGAAGAACGCAGGGCGACTTACCCGCTGTTGCGAGAGCGTGAAAAAACGCGTCGTCAGCGGCGTGCGCACGGTGGAGAAAACAGGGGGCGACTTACATCCTGTTGCGCAAGCATCAAAAACACGTCGTCAACAGCGCACGCGCGGTGGAAAACACAGGGGGCGACTTACATCCTGTTACGCGAGTGTGAAAAACGCGTTGTCAGCGGCACGTACGTGGTAGAGAACACAGGGCGACTTACCAGCTGTTGCGCAAGCGTGAAAAACGCGTCGTAAGCAGTGCGTGCGGAGTGGAGAACACAGGGAGGCGACTTACAGCCTGTGGCACGAGCATGAAAAACGCGTCGTCAGCAGCGCGCGCGGAGTGGAGAATGCAGGACGACTTACCCTCTGCTGCGAGAGCGTGAAAAACTCGTCGTCAGCGGCGTGCGTGTGGTGGAGAAAACAGGGGCGACTTACCAGCTGTTGCTGAGCGTGAAAACACGTCGTCAGCGGCGTGCGCGCGGTGGAGAAAACAGGGGGCGACTTACATCCTGTTGCGCAAGCGTGAAAAAGAAGTCGTTGTCAGCCGCCTGCGTGTAGCGGGGAACACAGGGCGACTCACCTCCTGTTGCACGAGCGTGAAAAACACGTCGTCAGCAGCACGCGCAAAGTGGAGAACACAGGGCGACTTACCCACTGTTGCGAGAGCATGAAAAACGCGTCGTCAGCGGCGTGCACGTGGTGAGGCAAAAAGGGGGCGACTTACATCCTGTTGCGAGAGCGTGAAAAACGCGTCGTCAGCAGGGCACGCACGGTGAAAACACAGGGGGCGACTTACATCCTGTTGCGAGAGCGTGAAAAACGCGTCGTCAGCAGCGCGCGCACGATGGAAAACACAGGGGGCGACTTACAGCCTGTTGCGCGAGCATGAAAACGCGTCGTCAGCAGTGCACGCAGTGGAGACAGCAGAGCTACTTACCCACTGTTGCGCAAGCATGAAAAACGCGTCGTCAGCAGCGCGCGTGGAGTGGAGAACGCAGGGCGACTTACCAGCTGTTGTGCGAGCGTGAAAAACCCGTCGTCAGCAGCGCACACAGAGTGGAGAACGCAGGGCGACTTACCCGCTGTTGCAAGAGCGTGAAAAACGCGTCTTCAACGGTGTGCGTGCGGTGGAGAAAACAGGACAACTCACCTCCTGTTGTGTGAGTGTGAAAAGTCATCAGCAGCGTACATACAGCGGAGAATGCAGGGCAAGTTACCTCCTGTTGCGTGAGCGTGAAAAGGAGTTGTTAGCAACGAGGATGCAGTCCCACTTACCTCCTGTTGCGTGAGCGTAAAAAAGGCATCATCAGCGGGGTGCACACAGTGGAAACACACCGTGACTTACATCCTGTTGCACAAGTGTGAAAAAGGCGTCGTTAGCAGAGCGCGCAAAGGAGAGAATGTAGGGCAGCCTACCAGCTGTTGCGGCAAGCGCGAAAAAAGTATCGTCAGCATGTGCGCAGTAGAGATGTAGTTCAGCTACCTCCTTCAAACCCTTTTCTGTTAGAAGCTTTACAACACTGTCATTCTTCAGCAGTTTAGCAACATCGAGCGCCGTTCCAAAAATATCCCCTAATCATCGTGTCAGTGTGTCCATTCCTCCCAATGCCTGCCAACTCACATGTACTATTGGCATTTCCGTCTCTGAGATTATCCAGTAGCAAGGTGATAATCTCAGTGTTGCCCACCAGCGTTGCAACGTGAAGTGGGGATCCAA